CCAAGCTCTGAACATTAATATTTATATTCCTCTCAGCTATACAGACACTTCATTCTAGCAAGGGATGGTAAAACCACTTCTGCAAGGACTAAAGTTTAATATAGCCTTGAGTGAAGTGCACATTTCTGATTGTCAGGATAGATAATGTCTGAGTAACACAATAAGGCTGACTCAGAGGGCTGGATACTGCTTCAAATATCAGACTTGGCAAGCAGAGAGGAAGGAAACCAAGGAAAAATGCCTCAAGCATAATTATTTTCTATCCTACAAATAATCAAGCTACTTTACCAAACATATGCCAATACTTGCCAGGATCCAAGGGCATAGAGATTAACCTCAACTCAATTAAGACTGGGACTTCTCTGAAAATCCATCATCTTTCAAGATCACAGAACACAAGAGAGAAAGAGAGCATAAAGTAAGCCGCCAGCTCTCAAGATCTACGATCCTAGTGCTGTTGCACTTTTGTGACACCATAACTGATGGCACAAACTTTGCATGTTCCACCTATACACCGCCAATCCCATCACTCTTAGCAGCATGCTAAACTAAAAGAACCAAGATACTTCATAACTAGATTTTGCTTCCTGAAATTCAGTTCTGCCTTTCACTATATTCAATAGTTATATTTATTAACTTTTCTTTTTTTCTTTCATGGGAAAAAAAAGTGTTAGAATACCATGCTTGGGACCTGCTAGAAGAAAGAGTGCTTGAAATAGCAAAACCAAGTAACTTTGGTGCCAGCTGTACCATGTTCCCTGGTGTATCAAGAAATGCTACAATTAAATTCAACTAATTAGATTTTTTTAATCCCGTAAAAAGATAACATATTCCATTCAAAATGAAAGCCAAGAGATTCCTCTGGGTCTCATAACATTAAAACAAGTTCCTATTCTGTCAGCTAAGCATTCCACAGAAGTCGTTGGAGGGGGTTGTTAAAAAAGTTTTTAAAAAAAGTTGAACTAGCAGAACATCAAGTCCTGAAGAAGTAATAACTCTGATTCTCTGCATCCAGTTTCTCTCTTCTGGAAAGCAACATTCTATAAATTTTCACGCCTATTAATTTGCAATCAGAAATGTTAAATCAAGAATTGCATTTAACAGTAAGGGAGAAAGATGTGCTTTATAAGGAACTTTTCATTGCACAACAAGCTTATCTGATGGAGGAAAACATTTGGCCTGCAAGAACTGTGGGCCCTGTATCTTGTCACATCAGTATCTAGTTATTATTCCTCCTGTCCAAAAGGCAAAACTCAGAATGCGCACGGGGGAAAGGGCTCTGCTGGGATTTACAGCCCATTTAATTTCTGCTAAGACCCTGGTTCTCTAATTAGGTAACCCAAATAAAAACAGCCTCAAAAATACTTAAAATATAGACTACATGTTTCTTATGTAAGTGGTACTGAAAGAATGGTTATACACAGGTACCACAATGGCTATTAAAAACTAAGTATAAATGCTCTCATTGCTGATGAAGAACAGGAAACGTCACGTTTCATGAATGCATTCACATTTTCATACAGTATTCCACGCCTTTTTCCTAACAGACTGTAAACTGTAAGAGAAGCACTTTAATCTAGACCATGCATTTAAAGTAGACAGAAAATCAGAAAAGTCATTATTTAGAAGTTTACTAAAATCTGCTTCCATCTGAAAGACTTCCAAATTAGACAAAGAGACAAGATTGCGTAACTGAAGGTTTTCAGAACTTTTTTTTCTGCACTTTTTCATTATAAGAGAGGCTTTTTTCTGCCACCCACCTCCCCTTAACCTTGTTTCCTCTTAGCTTTAGTTCTGAAATAGTAACAACAATCTTTTGGTCAAAGTCTGAAGTTTAAGAGACAACCTAAATCTAAAGGCCTACACACAGCACAGCTGTTAGCTGATGTTGGGAGTTATCTTTTGTCCCTATAAACATAAGCCACAAATGCTATGTCTGCCAATTTCACTGCTGACAGTGGGAAGGAAAACAAGAACAAGACCATTCAGGTAGTCTTCACTGATAGCTGACCAGCTGTTGGCCATCAACTAAAATCTTTTATTGCACATGATTCATCCTCCTACTCTACCAGAAATGCAGGAACTTTCCAACAGAATCACAGGGCTCAATGTTTCACTTCCGTCATATCTCTTAACAGAGGACATGCGGTCTTTCAGAAGACTTAGCAGCAATCAATGCCCAGAGTAAACTATTCACACAGACTTGTACAGGACAAGTTGAAAACAGTAGTAACACAGTTGACTTACAAACAGAGTTAAGTGTATAAAGAAAAGAATCTGGAAAAGACTGTATCAAAATCTTTTCCTCGTGCTCCGTACAGAATGCAGAATTATTTCTGTATTGCCCAAAAGTTGATCTGAATCCAGAACAACTTACTGACAGGAAACAAATAAATAAATAACTAAAAAAACCCAAACACATGAACTGTAGTCTACATAGAGATAAAACACCTTTATATCTTTATATCTTTATATTAAGAGCTGAATTAAATGTTTTAGATCTATTTCATCCAAACTAACATCCCTACATTTATGGTTTATAAATGTTTCTCCTCAGCTTCCCAGTGCACATCAACATTGCACAGTTTCAACAGTGAATCTCCACTAGCTATTTCATTTCCTCATTTTCCTACCTTTGCACAACATAATATACAAACAACCAACTTAATACATTTTAACATAAAAAGTTTCTTTCTTATCTATGTCAAAACCCATCTCCCCTCCAAATCATGTAGGTTTGAGCCAAACACAAGAGATACTCGTCCCTATTCTTGAAACTCCACATTTCCAAAAAGAACAAGTGTTCCCAAAATGAAGTATGAACAAGAGGATGGATTTGAAGGAACATTTTACATGCCATGAAAGAAAACCTGTAAAGATACATTTCAAATGTACCTGAGCTCCATTCCCTGCACCACTGTATTTATTAGCAACTACACATCGATTCAAATAAATTCACCTGCAACCTCACAAATTAAAGTAGATATTAATCCTAATTCTCAAAATAAGTTTTTCAGTTTTAGTGGACATAATATAAAGGAAATAGCAAGGCCACAATTCATTTTCTGAGCATTGTTAAAAACTGTAATAATCTGCTGACTTGTGAAAAAAATATTGCTCTGAAAAAGCCCCAGGAGCTTCTTCCCAAGCAGCACATTGACAGCAGATGGCCAGCATCAACTCTGCAGTTACCAGTCTGGCCTGGCAGCCTCACAAATCACAATGATACTCTTTTCTTTTTGTGGATGTGGGGAGGGGGCAGCTTGAGAGATGCAGACAACTAGGTATCATAGGCAACAACCCCTTCCACTAAAAACATATGTATGTATACAATCTATTTCCAAGCCTGTCACATGCTTCTTCCATTAATTTTCATTTCTGTTAGGTTTCCCTCCTTTATTTGTAACACTGAAAAAACTTTAAGTAGTAGAAAAGACAAACAAGGTGGCAGGAAATGGGTAACATAAAAGATACAGTAGAACTGACCATTGTCAAGCATTGCCAGAGACAAACTTCACAAACTACCTGTTGTGGCAGCTTTCCCCCCATTTGTTTCACTCTCCCCTCAGCACAGTCTTCCCCCGTCCGGCCCTGAACAGATATTCTCTCGCCTAAAGAGGTGAACAGAACATCTGATGAGGAGCTGCTGTTTCATTTCCTCTCCTTCATCCCACCCCTCAAATGGAGAAGCCCTCAAAACAGAGGAGGGGAGGGCATGTTTTTAATCCAAACGCTGCGTCTTAAAATACTATTGTGCAACATTTGGCTGAGAGTGATTGTAAAGCTATATATATATACATAGCATTAGAGTGCTTTATTCCCCCTACATCTCCTGGGAGATAAAAAAAACAACCAATGAGGCTTCTGCATTAATAACCATTTACTATTTCAGTTTTACACCCAAGAATTTGAATATCTGAGCAAAACCTTTATTTTGCCAAAGCCAATAACTGTTTAGAAATGAAAATAAGCAGAAAGCAAGCTATGAATTCCTGTCTGACCAACAGATGCAACACAAAGACAGTGGAAAGGATTTTCTCATGAGCAAAGAGCCTGATATACTTAACTGAGGCATTTGGACCTCTCCTCAGGAATGCTCAGTCCCTCACAGAGACTTCTGTCTTACATTGATTCAGCATTCCTTACCTCATTTCTTGTAATTCTTCCTGTTCTTCCTCATTTCAGTTATCCTTTTGAAAAATTTATCACACATAGAAAGATGGTGGAGAAAAGTATATCACAGTCCTGCTGTTGTTATCTGTCTTGAAAATCTTACTGGGAAATAAGGTTATTCAAGAAGAAAACCTCAAGTCTTCTTATGGCCTAATTTCTGTCTCATTCAGGCTTAATTCCAGTTACACATTGAACAGGGAGGGTGCTAATGTAATGGAGATGCTACCACCTCAGAGGCTGCACCCCTCCCTAACAAGAACACCTTTGGGTAATCATGACTTAATCCAAACTCATTTTTAACAATCCTTAGATATTGTTATTCTTCTCAAAGACCTTGGACTATGTGTCAAATGCCATGCAATGAAACCTAAATTACTTACCACCAGAAGGCAGAGATGATAACACAACACACCCCATTTTCCTCCCAGCCCCAATGAGAAGCTTTCTTTGCTGACACACACAATGAATACCAGAAAGTATTGTCCTTTCATAAACTCCCTCAGAAGTTTTTATGCTTTTACCACTTGTTCATCAAGTGCTGTAGTACAGGACATTACTTCCCTGCATAAATCTGGCACTTCTTGTTACTGCAATTATCAAGAGATGTAACACAAGTACCAGCTTTGTGGCAGAGATGCAAGTTAACACACACAACTCATGCAGAACTAAATTAATCAAACCTCACCAAAACAATTACTTGGTCCAGCAAGGAAAAAAAAAAACCTGCATGCGCTCAGTAGCTTTGATTCTTTTGGGAAACATACCTTCAAAACATTTTGGATTGTTTCTCTCTCAGAAACAGCCAAAACTTAGGAGTGTCAACTCACCTTCCACACTATCAGAACAGGAGGTACCAATCCCAGTGTCCCCGCTGTCGGAAGCTATACTGTGTCTTCTGACAGGATTGCTTTGACTGCTTGATGAAATCGTTGTGCTCTGCCACAGGGATTCAGTACCAGGTAACCATCCCACTGAGGAATAATCTGAGCCTATAAAAAAAGGAAGCCAGAATTCTGTCATTACAAACACAGTACAGAAGGCAACTAAAAAGTATCTGTCAAGATGAAAACTGAATCCTCCGTTTCATAGTTCAAGTTTGAGTCAGACTGTGCCTACAGCTTGGGATATTATTTTTTTAAAATTAAAATCCTTTTGCTAGGTGAAACCTTCCCAAAAGTTCCAATACATATATTTTTACTATTTAAAAACATTTACAAAACAACTATCACATGACTCCTATCCTAGAACTGATTGTCAATTCACAGCAGATTTTTGCATTGCATGCCTTCAAATACAAAGAGACGAACAAATGTTAGGCCAGAAACCAGCTGAAGATTTGGCCAGTGAGATACAGTCATTTCCAACTGTGCATAAACCCCATGACCTAGGTGATAAAATAAAGCCAGCAGTGAAATCGTCAACACTGATACCTTAAGTAATTCATTACGTTTCTCTGTTATCAGCAGTTTTCAGTGGCCAAGACAGACTACAAACTGAAGAAGGCACATCGTAGCTGCACACAAGCTGTGTTTGTGAG